TGAATAATTTGCATTATTTGATAGATCTGAGATTTCATAAATGATATTGGATCGTCGAAGTTATTTACAACGATCCATAAGTAAACGAATAAAAATAATTTGAGATGAAACTAAATAAATTATTTATTTTTGAAAATTTTCAGAGAAAAAAGAAAGAGATAATATTTGAAATTTATCGAATAAGATTAATTCATTTTCATCAAATAAACATTTGTAATATTTGAGTAATGATGAAAGAATTAATGAAAAATTTATCCAAATAATATTGATTTAATGAAAAAGTATTTTCGATATTTCTATTGCTCTGGAATGTGATAAATTTCATTTCTTGAAAAATTTTCAAATAAACTATTACTTTCAGGATAAAACTGATATCTTCAAAATTTTCTTTTTCCAATACTAGAATGTAACATAATAGTGATTAGATAGACAATTATGTAAAACTTATGTTTATAAAAATTTACTCACTACAAAAATGAATGGTCTATAACTAAAATGATTTTGAAAAACATCATTTAAAAGAGGCGATATAATATTAAAACTCAAGTTTACTGTCTATTTTTCCAAATAATTAAAACGTTTAAGTTTATATAAACAATTTAAACAGCTGTAATATTAAGAATTATTGAAGAAATTAAGTTTTTTTAAAGAATAACAATCATTATATAATTAGATGTGTATTCAAAAAAATAATTTTTGAACAATTAATCCATGTTGTATCTCGTTTATAATTGTGTGTAACATTTATAATCATCATGAACTTCATATAGATTGAGATCATGAAGATGAGAATATTGAACAATTGAGAAATCTTGATCATCATCTTTTGATATTCTAGATTATTTATTCTTTTGTGGTTTTTGATTACCTAAAGTTAATTCTTTCATTAATGGAAATGATTGAGCAATATATATAAAGAAAAAATTCATGCCCAAAAAATTGTTCATCAAATAACGATATTTCACGAACATATTCAAATAATCCACCTGAAAAATTATTTGTTATCTTGTTGTACTTTTTCAATGTATACGGATATGAGTAAATATAATGTCGACCTTCCACTGCCTCTGAAAAATAATCAACACAAGTAATAATTTGATTATCAAGATCAATGATTGAATGAATATTATATATAAATTTATTTAATTGTGCTATATGATCAATAATATTCTTCAAACTGAATTCTTCTTCTAAATTTAACATTCGATGTAGAAATGGTACAATTAATTCATCATATCTATATAGAACCAGATTAAAGAATTGTACGAAGCATCTTAACTTAGGGAGTCTTTCCTAAAAAAAAATAATATTATTGACTCGTTTAACTAGATATTAAATAATTTACTATCAAGTGAAAAAAAAGACAATCAATGAAATTATCCGAACTAATGTGCAATTCTAATAGATTTGATGAGAAAATAGCTGAAGGTGAATAATGAAAGAATAATAATTGATACCAAAGTGATGATGAAACAAAATTTAAATACTGCAAATTGGTAAACATATTAATTATGTTTATATTTTCTGTTATACTTCGATTGTTATTTCGACTCATATGGATAAAAAGTGATAAAATTGAATTTTTAAATGTATGAAATAGATGTATTTTATCTAAATATGAATAAAATACAAAAATATCACAGAAAAAGATTTTATACTTTCTTGCAAATCTAGTTTTTGCCATAATAACATTGTTCGAGTCTATCAAAAAACAATATTTTGAGAAATGACTCGACAGATTCTATCTAACTATTTAATTTTCCAACTCATACTTCATCGATTGCCCATGGAGTAAAATATTGAAGGAAACGGACCGCGTAACGCGTTTCCGAGATTGTAGCATGCGTTTCGCAACGTTTTTTTCAATACAGGACGCGTTTCGCAGCATTCTTACTTGCATAAAATGCGTTTTGCCACCGTCGTTTTTTGAAACGGTCCGAAACGCTTTTTTCAAGATTGCGTTTCGAGGCGTTTCCGAATTCAAATGCTGTCGAATGCACTTTGGTCGACAGACGACGCGTTTCACAGGTGCAAATTGAGGGAAAGGTGGAACGCGTTCCTTTTTCAAATCTATGGTGGATTGTTTTTGCTTGGAATGATGCAAAATATATCCGTTCTGGATACAGAATCTTGCAGAAATTCACTAACACAAAGCATATGAGTTAACCAAAATAAATTCTTTAAAATTACTTTGGAAATGATATGAAATAGCGCTTAAAGTTTTGCTCCTTGCACTTTTTACTTGATAATCATGGCCAAGGATTTTATGAAGGCAAGACTAAAATCAAAGTCTTCTAAATTTTTAGGCTGCCAGGCTGTTATCTAGACTTATTTCGAAGTTAGACTAATGTAAAACATCAAAGTGTAACAAAAATATATTCTGCTTACTTAAAAACTCATTTCACCACGTTTTTATTGAAAGAAAACATGCTTCGTAAGGTTTACTTAAGAATCGTTTTAAATATTGAGCATTTCGAAAAGATTTAGTAAAGATTGATACTAATATAATTAGTATGGCAACTCTCTTTGGTTATTTGTGAACAAAATAATTATCACGTTATCTATAATTTGAATAATTATTAGTATGAGTTCATACTCGAACTAATTGATAATGAATAAGGATACTGTGTACAATACTAGTAAACATGATTTTAGTTTGTACATTGTTGAAGTAAGAGTGACTTTTTAATAAAAGAGATTCGACTTACAAAAGAAAACTTCCTTCATTTATTGATGTAATTGGAGAAAACGATGGCAGATTTACATTTACAAAAATCTATTAAATCAAGAAAATAAATAAAAGGTTAAATTTTAAATTTTTTAAAACTTATATATAAGAAATTTAATTTTTTAAATATTAAATATAATTTAAATCAATTAAATTCGGTTCTATTGAGTATCTAAATTTAAATCTGAAAGAGGTTAAATAAAAAATGTATGAAGAAAAGACCACACTCGTAATTGGACATAGGCACCAACGAAATGATAATTTTTAATTCAGTGGAATGGAAACTGAAAATCTAATTTAGTAAGTTTACGCGAGACTCTAAATGACAGTAGAATAAACATTTATATCATCAGATTCTTTTAGTTGAACGGTTTGTATATATGTCTTATACTCCTATGTTCTTGTGTTCGAATCCGTGTCTTGACTGCATCAAAATTCATGTAAGCTATAGTTCTGAAGGTCTATGAAAAAATGTAAACGAGTATATAAATTGTACCTGCAATTCAAGATCTATGAAATCATTGACGGTTTTCAGTTTTTTTTCCATCTAGAATATATGATACCACAGTTTGAGAAACGCTGCAAAATCTTTCACAAAAACAATCGTTACACAGCGTTTGTTTTAGCAGATGTGAAACGCGTCAAACCGGTCAGCATTAACGCGTTTCGCAGCTATGAAAAAATGCGTTTTCAGAACGCGTTTTTTTCGCAGAAATTTACACCATGGGTGAAAATTCATAAAAACGATCATTTGACTTACACAATATTTTTTGTATTTTATACATAACAAATAAAATTATCATCTATAAATGTTTCAATTGATTATCATTAATAAATTACGCCGAAAAAAAACAATAAACTAAGATCATGTAATGGTTAAGCAGGATATATTGAAAATTCATTTCTTTACATATGACATGCTGTCTAAACAAAATAGAAAATTCTTTACAAGTTATTTTTCATCGATATTTTCATGTAAAATAGCAATTGATACTTGGGTGAGTGTCGGATGTGAGTATACTTGTGACAGAAGAAAAGATACACATCCGCATCTACATCCTCAAGATTAAATCGATATTCTAATGTGTGAGTGAATCGTAAATGAAGTTAAGAGAAAAAAAACAGCTTTTGTCTAGTTGTTTATAAACTATCGAATGCTCGTCCGATCTGAATTGACATCTTTTCTTCTTTTTTTTCTATCGTTGTTGAGGAAAATGATGTTGTTGTGGACAAGTTTATTTTCAATCGGAAAAGACACTCAGTATATATTAAGTAAAACACAGCGAGAAAACTAGATGTTTTTTCTTTCAAAATAAAAAAAAAAAAAACAAACTTGAATAATATTTTCTTTCGTCTCTTCTTGCCAATAATTGGTTGATCATTAGTATCATTCGATGATGGATCAATTCGATCTAATTCATCTATTGTTGCGTTTCCATATTCTCAAATTATTTTACCATATTGTCTTTCTGTTGTATGATGTTTATCTCCACATATTTTACTCATTGCTTCAGTTTGGTTATTTTCATTTTGATTTTATGATTATTGAATTTGTTTTTCAATAACGCACCTTCCCCATGGTGTTGTTTCTCATTGCATTGTTATAATTATAAAAGTTCTATAGTAGAGAAACAGGAGAAAAGTCGATCGAAATCAAAGAAGAATTTTTCAATTGGGAAAAATAAACCATTGAATATTCATTTTTATTTTTATTTAAATATAAAGAAATCTATAAAAAAAATGTATATCTTTAGACATTTAATTATCTTTTAGTCTTATTAATGACTTAATTATATAGTGTAATGTTTGCATAACTAGATCATTATTAGTGAATATAATACATATCAATGTTGTTTACAACACTTTGAACAGTCTGATAATGAATCAAAATTCTTTTTTTTTCTTGATGTGAATAATTATTTATTGTAAATTGAATCAATTGTTTTAAATTTCAATATGTTTAGTAAAGTTCAGCAAGAAAAAGCTGCCGGTATGAATATTGAATAGATGCGTGTAGGTTACCAATTGCGTGAGCCAATCGAGATATTGCAAAGGTCGAATATCAAATGAAATCATGTCGATAAAATTTCTTAAACAATTATAAAGTAATCAGTTGCATTGATGTCGTTTTATAAATGGAGATTATTTATTTTTGTATATTATCATAGAATTTCAATGTTTACTGAAGTGAACTTATTTCAAACAAATGTATTGATTCTAAATTCTCGTTTTAGAAACGGATTTCTTTATCTTGAAATAAAAGAAAAACGTTCTAATGATAAGTTATTTTTTCAAAATGATAAATATATCCAATAAAAGTTAATAATAATGATAATAGAATTAGAATTCCAATTTCAGTTGCTTTTGTAACACGACATAATTGTCCTATAAATTCCGATAAATAGGCTGCACCGGATAATAGATTTTCACTAAACAAGAATAAAAGATTACTTTAAATTAAATTCGGTTTCATTTTTAAATTTCTTACCGATAAATGTGGTACATTGGATGCTGCACAAATATTAAATGGATTATATTCATCATAATTTAATGGATGTTCATCAATTGGATTCTTTCCACGTACATTTAATACTTTCCGTGTCTAAACAAAATAATAATAAAGTTTTTATTTGTTTTTTTTTATCCATATTCTAAAGTAATTGAACGAAAATTATGTTTCATTTAACAAAGAATAAACTCAATTGTTTCAAATAAATCAAAACAACATGAACAACTTCGATCAACAGATATGACATATCTTTGAGTGCATTAAAGATAGCTATATTTTTATAAAGATTTCTTTACTGGTTTATTTGAGAAATTAACTCACAATGCTTGATTAAGTGCAAATTTTAATGTCATGATTTTATGTATTGGTTGTAATTGTAAATGAGTAAAATCAGCAGCTAATTCACATGAACGTTTTTCATTATCTTTTGCTAAATCTTTTTTTGCCATTGACATTTGTAAATCAACAATATTTTCTTTACATATTTCAATTCATTGTTGACCTTGAAATTTTCCATTTTTTGTTAAACGATAAGTGATTTGACAACGTCCAACTAATTTTTCTGATTTAAATCCAACTGCTAGATAAAATAATTTTGGTGAACGTACATCACGCCTTAATAATTAAAATAAAAATTTAAAAATATTTATTAAATAAACCAATAATTTATACATTTGGATGAAAACATACAAGATCAGATGGTATCTTAATTATTAAGCTTTTGTTAATTAAAATCATCTTCATCACCTTCAATTTGTAGTTTATCATCAGCCCAGTCTCCACCACTCGTTGCTGTTTCATGCATATGAAGATTTAAAGCAAGTTTTGCTGCTATGTTTGATATTAAATTTGCTTTGATTCTTGTTGACTTATTGGACATGATGGTACAATTAATTTAGCATTGAGATTTATTTCAGATAACTAAAAATAAATAAATATTTTATTTTGAATTACTAAATTTAACACGAGATTAATATTGATTAAATGTATGTCTATCTTATTATTTCATATCTAACATATCAGTTAAACAAAGAACAAGTAATAATAACTTTGTTAAAATATCAGTCTACCAACTTATTCCTTTTTTGAAACAGAATATGAAGTCTTCTTATTCTGTTTTTAATCTACATTCTAATGAATATCAATCAGAGAAAATAAACTAAACTAATTATGACATGGTGATTATTTGAAATGTCTTTAAAAAAAAATATGTTATCATTCAATGTCGTAATAAACTTCTTTATACAACAGTACAGAAAACTCTTTAGATAAATGATGTGCTGGACATAATTAAAGATTCTTAAAAATTATTTTATATCTCAAATAAACTGGTATATTTATATGAAAACGTATAACTAGTTTTCAAGACTTTCAATTGAAGATATTAGAAAACGAAAAATAAAACTTTCTAAATTGCTTTAATTTTTTTAAAAACCCTTTCGGACGAAGTATTGACATGAGAGTATTTTTTATCCATAATAAAATTACTTTTTCATCCAAAGATTCTATTGTATAAAAAAGGACATAACATAATTCAATCTCATAGAAAAAAAATATAAAACGTTACTTTGATTGCATTATCTAAGAAATTTCATGTTCTTCAACATCCCCTAATAAGGTCGCAATTTGAAATTGTCTACTAACATCTTATCGTACTTCAGCTAAACAAAAAAAAAAATAAAATAAAATAAAAACAATAAGAAATTTTTCAAACCAATTTTCATCACTTTTCAAAAAATAGATAATTGAAACTATTTAAAAGAAACCACAACTAATTTACATCAATATTTCTATATTCAAGTGCTAAGCCAAATCTTGTTTTTGCAATATTTGTTTTCAAGATGAAGATTTTTGAAAAGAAATTTGTAAATTTTACTTCATCGTATTTACTATTACTTTAACTTTTGTTATACAAATATATAAATCAAGTATATGAATAATTCCATCGTCACCATTGATAAATGCATACTTAATATGATTTGATGTTGTATGATGAAAAACACCTGAATCATCCTAATAATGATAAGTAATTCGTATCATTTGACCACATTATATATTTAACTTTGCCTTTTCTTACACTTGCTAATGAACATTTTTGTTAAGCATCATATATATTAATATGATCATTTTCACGAATTAATCAAGATCTCTATCAGCATAAAAAATTTCATTACAATTGGCTAATTAAATTTTGTTTTATGTTATATTAAAATCCATAAAAAAGATAAAAAGCAACCCGAATGCATTTAAATCAGATGAATGACGACCTTCACATACTAGAAAAGAATATACATTAAAAGTATCGAACAATTTAGATAGAATATCTTTCTCTTTTTGAAATGTTAGACCTTTTTAAAATCCTAACGTTCAATTCGAATAAATCGTATCATTCAGAGTTTTATATTGAATTTCTTGATTCATCAGCATCTTTCGAACGTGAACCATTCACAGTATTTTCAAATAAAATAAAACAATTAATTTATTTTAAAAAATTCTGAAAAAATTTACCTTTGTAATTATATAAGAAGAACATCTTTTGATGTTCTAATTTCCAATCGTCGTGAATATTTGATTATCATGACCTAGCAAACAAATGTTTTATTTTACTTTTAATTTTTGAAAATGAAAAGAATCTTACCAGCAGCAAATAAATTTAATGTTGAATGAACTGTTAAAATTCAATATCAATCATTTTTCAATAATTTTATTTTAATTGAACTAAAATAAAATAAACTGTTTGTCGATATCCCAACGTTGATCTATCGAACAGAATAAAAAAGAAGTGAATGATATGAACAAACTTGCATATTGTGTACTCGTCTGTTTCGTGCTCACAGCTGAATATGGAAGCAAGAGAAGAATGAAAAAATAATATAGGTCACGACAATACCTTTTTTCTTTTCTTTCTCTCGTCCATAAGTCGTCATTGTTCAGGTTATCATTGATGATCAATGATAATGTGACATGATGATTGTATATATCAATTAAGCATTATCCCATACACATACATTGAGATATTTGTGATTGAATTTATCTCAATGCATGTATATGTAGATGATAGCTTAATTACTATCATCTTTTCATAACTCTCTGACGAGAAAAAAAAACAAAATTATCGAATTTTACCATATAAATATGAATGATTTTCTATGTAAAATCATTCAGTTTATTGAATCAAATTCTAATCTTTTCTTTTTATATTTTAGATTGGCTTCAACGATACAAAATTATTCAAATCAACAGAATACAACATAATAAAAAAATGTAGGTATCAGTTTTTCTTTTTTTTTCTTTATTGGATCATACAGAGGGTGCTAAGTCCTCTTGTGATCTTTATATTCATGTCTTTTCTTTTCCTGTTAAAGACGTCATCATTCAACATCCACGGGTGAGGTAAATTTTTTTTCTTTTTCTTTTCTTTGTTGAGATGAGAATAGTTAGGATGAGTGAGGTACGTTGAGTTTAGGGCTTCGCTTTATAAGAAGGACTGTCGGGTAGTCCCTAAAAGCCTGGCCAGGAACTGTCTTGGTGTCCGTGGTACACGATCGGGCCCCCAGACTCACTGACATATGACATCGGATGGGTGCATGTGGATGATGTGGGTCTTCCCGCGCGTGCATGAGCATTACGCTCGCCACGGCTTCACCAGGTTGGTTCCTGGTCGCGCGTGCGAATAGAATAGCAATGAATTCATTTTCATTCAATCACGATTTATTTGTAAGAGAAAGAGAACAGAAAAGAAAACAATTCATCATCGTATTGAATTTCATTCTATATTAAATTTTTGTACTCGACCATTTCCGTTTTCGACGACATAGAGATTGCCATATCGATCGAATGATAAACCTATGGGATAATTGAGTTCATTCGGCTGTGCTCCTTGGCCGTTTCCACCAACAATGACACTTCCTTGTGTGGCACCTTTTGGCCAACGCATGATTCGATTATTCCAACTATCAGCCACATAGACAGTACCCAGTTGATCGACAACGACTCCTTGAGGACCATTCAAGTGTGTAAGACTATTTCCTTTTCCTTGACCACCGACTACGATAATGCCTTGTGTTGCGCCTTCTTCCCATTTCATTACACGATTATTTCGAAGATCAGACACATAAACTGAATGTTCTCGATCGACAAATACGTAGCGGGGATCAGAGAGTTGATCGAGGCGGCTTCCTCGTCCATTGCCACCTGCAACTATTGTTTCTTGAGTATTACCAATTTTATATCGTCTCACTTCATGTTTTCCAATGTCACCGACATAGAAAAAACCATTGTCGTCCATTGTCAAACCCACGCAAGAGATAGTTGAAGTAATCGTTTCTCCACAAGTACCATTTCGACGAGGCCAACGAACTACTCTTTTATTCGCCCAATCGCTGATGATGAGACTATCGCTCTCTTTGTCGATAATCACATCAAATGCGCCATGTAACTGATGAGTTCCATTTCCAACTCCATTTCCGCCAGCAACTACTTTTCCATTCGTTGCACCAGATTTCCATTCCACAATACGATGATTGAACTGATCAACGACATAAATCGTTTGATCATCGTCGACGTACAAACCACATGGGCAATGGAGTTGATTGGTTTCACTGCCACATCCATTTCCTCCAGCAACAGTGATACCATTCTGTGCCCATTTTGCATTCGGATGAATATCAATGGAACTTGCACGTAGTGGTACTGAAATGGAAACAAAAGTATGAAGTAAAAATAAACATCAATGTCATTGAAATGAGTTCTTCTCATTTGTTTTAAACAGTATTGAACTGCTCTCAATTACAAAAGCTTTTTACTTATGAACTTGATTAGAATCTGATTTTTCTCAATGTTGAAAACAAAACATTGTTGATTTTTTTCAAATATTTTGTGTAAGAATCCTTAGTTTGACGAAAACTAACTAAAATTTAACTGGTAATGTAAAATATTGTGATTAAGTCGAATTTTATCGTAAATGAAATTTTCTTTTTTATCGAATTTTTCCAACATATTCACTGATTTTGTTAGTTCGATTTTGAAATATATTTAGATTTTGCATGTCATCAATTTAAAAATCATTTCACTTTTTTTGTTTGGATTTTACAATAAAATGAGTTATAATAGAATTTGAACGTAAGGAAAAACAATTTTGTTGTCAATTGATAGGAAACGGTGTATGATTTATGTTCGTCACACATTTCTGAGTGAAATGAGACAAAATAAATTTGCAACTTTTATATGAATTCGTTAAAAAGATCTTGCTAGATAACAACGATACTTAATTATACTTAACTACCATGCATAAGACGTTTTTGATTGATTCATATAAAAAAATTACAAATTTTTTGTGTAAGTTTTTTTCTTTCTTATTCCATTTACGAATGTGTGACAAATATAAATCATACACCATTCAAAAGTATTTTATGCCATGAATATTGCATCATACTTATTATTGAGTAATTTATTCCTGAATCTCAAACAAACAAGTAGTTTGTAGAGAGGTTAATCGAAGTGCTAAATAGGATAAGTTTAGATAAAAAAATACATTAGTTCGAATTTTAGTAGATAAGAAGAACTCAAAAACAAATCTTTCCCAAGTTCAAGAATATTTGAAGAATCTGTCATGTTCATTACTCTACATTATAGCACAAATAATAATCTATATACGAATCAATCAAATCTTTTATTTTGAATTCATTTCTAATGTATTACAAATTTTTAACTTAATAGGGTATGGAACACCCTTTTTTAAACAATAGCAGTTTCGATCACAGATCGATTTCGAACTTTCCAAATTTAAGTATTTTCGCTTCTTTACAAGACAATACGAATCTCCTATGAAAATCTTGATCTAAAATGTTTGCAAGTTTGTGTTTTGTAGGTTATTCCATAGATGTAAATTTTTCAGGATTCTCACAAAAAAGCAACGATCGTAAAAGATTTCACCATGATTTTAGCTATTCTCAATAGCAATAAGTGTGGAAATTTCTTCTTTAAATTTTTATTGTATCGCATTCTGCACTGGTTAAATCCTAGAAGAAAGTTTTTTTTGTCGGTCTAGAATTTTCTAAAGATTCATATTGATATTGAATTGAGCTTTAGACTAGAAACAATATTTCTATGATTATATCTGGAATGGACAGTTACGGAACCGACGAAGTTAATAAAAAATGTCATGCAGTTTTATAAACTCCCTAAAAATAATTTAAATAATTTCATTCTTTTTAATTTATCTATGAAGAATCTAGCTATAATTGAGATCTTGATTAAATTTAATACTATTTAATCAATTTTCATTTTTATTACATGTAATGTCATGTATTTTTAATATGTTTAATGTCTCAGTTCAAGTGGAAGAAAGTACATTTTAGTATTATTTCTTTCCTTCCATCGACAAAAAACAAATGCATGTAAAACGGTATGAGACCTTTAATTATGTGTCAAACAACTCGAAGATGAGAGTCAGAATCAAAACAACACTTTCTGCTTTTTAAATCAAAGAGATTGTGAAACATAAAACTCTAGTAGGTAATTTTGTGTTCTACTTATAGATGATGGCATAGAGCTATATGAAATGCTTATTAATACTATAGATTTATTTCAATTAAATCAAACTTCTCAAATATCTCTTATACACATGGAAATAATCAGTCTGACCGGGTACCTTGCTTCGGTTTTTTTGCACATAAACTTCAGTCTTATTTTAGACCAAGTACAGTCAGTATTTGCTCTATATTTGATATTATATAAAATCCTATTCCTTATTTTCCATTTTTCTATACTGTAGTATGGAAATTTCCATTTTTATTTCTTGTTTTTCTATTTTGGCAATATAGAGAATCCCATTTTTACCTCTCATTTTTCTATATTAATAATGTAGAAAGTTATATTTGTTAATTCTTATTTTCTATATTGATACTATAAATAATGATTAGCTTTAATCCTAATTTTTCTATGTTGGTAATATAGATAACAGTTGGTTTTATTTCTTATTTTTCTATATCAATAATATACGAATCTAAATTTTCATTTCTTGTTTTTCTAAATTGGTAGTTTAGAAAATCTTATTTATTGTTTTTCATTTTTTAGATTGATAATATAGAAAATCTCAATTTTAATTTTTCATTTTTCTATAGCAATAATAGAGAAAATCTTAATTGTCATTTTTTATTCTTCTATATTAATAATATAGAAAAACCTATTTTTATTTCTCATTTTTTTATATTAATAATATAGAAAATCTTATTTTTAATTCTTATTTTTCTATATTGATAATAATAGAAAAATAAAAAATACAATTTTCTATGTCAACAATATACAAACAATAGAGAATAAAACAAACTGTTATCTTTATTACCAATGTAGAAAAATAAGATTCTCCATATCACGAATGTAAAAAAATAACAAACGAAAATCAGCATTTTCTATATTACTACTATAGACAAATAGAACAAAAATAGCTGTTTCTATATCATCAATATAGAAAAATAAAAAATAAATAGAATTTACTATTTTGTCACCACAGAAAAATAAGAAATAGAAGTAACCGTTTTGTATACTATTAGTATAGAAAAAGAATAAAAAAAATTAGGTACACTGCTTGATCCTGTTTTTCAGGTGCTATTCTTCATAGAAAAGCTGATGGAATCAACTATTCTCGAACAAATGAAAGAACAGAACACACCATACACGAGCAGATAATAACAGGCAAGATCTACATTATGTACCGTGTATGTTTCTTTCTTTTAGATCTTGTGTGATCTGTTAACGTCTGACAAGAAGCATTCAGTTTGTCCTTATAAGTGTTTTAATCTTTAAATCTTGTGACCAGGCCTCGCAACGTATCGCTACGGTCAACGTAAGAAAAATCAGGAAATCAGGAATTAGCGTTGATTGTAGCGATTTCGTTGCGAGGCCTGTTGTACGATTAACTAATGTTACTGAGAAACAAAACGAAACTATTCATTTTTTTAAAATCGAATTGATGAAATTTAACAAATAAACATTGTGGGACTTTGTAAACTATGTGAAAATAATAACAATTCAATCGCAATTTAACATAGTTGGAAGTTTGTAGCTTTATGTAAGAAGATGGTGAAATTCAACCGTGTAAGCTGATCAGCTTGTTAACTGAATATGCAAAGATTAATATTACAATAGATATGTTCATTTCTGTTCTGTTTTGTTTCTTAAGAATAGTCTGCAATTATCCTAATCTGAATTCTTATAAATAGAATAAGGTCCCAAAAACGAGCTGTAATGTAAAAGTACATATTGCAAATAAGAATTATCTTATTAATGAATAGAATGCTTTTCGATGTATGAGATGATTTTACAGTACGCTAGAAGCGATAGTTCTATTCATGAATCTCAAACGAAGATGACTTCTTCATTAAAAATGATAGAGTTATGAGATTGTTGTTAGAAAAACGTTTAAGTTGTAGAACTTTTTCGAAACTTAGTAAATATTTCACCAACCTATTGAATTTAAACAGAACCTATGTGACCAAGATAAGCTACATTCATACGCTATATTGAAAAGTATATGTAGTTTATCCATTAATCATTAGAATCAATAAGAATTGATTCCAATTTTTACTCATGTCTGTCCAAGTATGGTTTGACATCAGAGATGTCCATCGCGGCGCTGCCGCGATGGCCTGTGGCGGCAGCGGCAGCGGCAGGTTTTTTAAAAAATCACCGCGGCAGCGGCGCGGTAGCGGTAGATTTTTTAAAAATCATCGCGGCAGCGGCGCGGTAGCGGCAGGTTTTTTAAAAGACCATCGCGGCAGTGGCAGGATTTTTTTGGGGAACATTGAAAAACTGCATGAATTTAATAGAATTTCAGGGTTTACAAATGAAACACCCCGAGACTGAATGAATCTGATGGACTAGTACCAATATCTCTGGTCAAATATAGTCGCAGGAGTGAAATTAGAAACACTTTTTTGTAAACCGCCGCGGCGGCGGCACGTTTATTTTATAATTCATCGCGGCAGCGGCGCGGCAACGTTTTTTTTATAAGCCATCGCGGCGCGGCAACATTTTTTTATAAACCGTCGCGGCGCGGCTGCGGTGCGGCAACTTTTTTTTTCTAAGGCCGCGGCGTGGCAGCGGCAGATTTTCAACCGCGGTGGACATCTCTGTTTGACATGCGTTGATGCAAAAGTTTTATATGAACAGACTTATATAAATAGAACCAATTAAAATTTATTTATTCTGAAGAGATCATCTTACGCAATGAAAATAAATACTCATCAAATTTAATCTATTAGTTTCAGGGAAGATAATTAAGACTGATTATTTTTAGTATTGATAGAAGTTAACGATGAGTTCATGAAGTATCTTATGATATTAGAAAACCATCGTTATATCTAAATTGGAAAAATGATAGATTTCATTTTCGAATCATCAATCAAAATTTTACTTTTCTACCAGAATTCTTTACTTCCAAAGTTAAATAATATTTTTCGTTGAAATAAACTTGAGTAGAGAATATCTTTAATATTTTGATTAGATGTTATTAAAGTTAACAATTAATATTAGAGATAATAAAGAATTCGAATCGATAATCTTCGTCTTTTGGTACAAATATTCATAATGAATGAATTTATTTAAAATGTTGAAAAAAAAAGAAAACATCTCCTTTCTTGAGATGTACGTCTTTTTCAAATTATCGTGTAAAGATCATCTCGGCTTCATACCGAAGGTTTCAATGAGAATCTATTAAGCGTCCTCTCTTCAACAACTTGTTTCTATTAATAACGTGATTCAATTTATAAAAAAAATGAATTGAGGAAAGCATCTATCAATGAGATCAAGAGATCTTTTTGTTTCAGAGCATTCTCGATATTATTGTGCTTATGATGTAATCTCTTAAAGTAGATTCAGACTAGAATAGAGTATTATTTTAGTTCACATCAACTAAGCACATCGAAATTTTCAATATCATCCTGCTTCAGTAAAAATTATATCATTAGAAAGAGCACTAGAAATTGATCACGAAATACTAATTTTCTCTGAGACACACTTCCAAGTTCGTAGGAAAAATTTACAAAAATATCTAAATTTTTTAGAGATAACCGTAATCTTGCATGTATATTATGTGAACAGCTGATAGGAAAGAAGAAAAAACAACCTTGCCACATTGCTCGTAATGATTATGATTATAATAATATTGATGTGATAGTTCAATTTAAGAAAAGTATCAATACGTAATTATATTACATCATTATTGTGTCAGATTTCATGAGTAATCTAAATATGTCAAGTTCTATTTCTCATTCAAAAATATATATTTTGACTTTCTTATTGTTAATCGTTTCAAAAAAAAAGATCTATTTCTTTTTGTTTACTCAAAAAGTGAGTACACTCTAGAATCGGTCAGTATGTCCGTCCGGTCGTCCGGCCGTTAACACGATAACTTTTGAAAGGAGAGTTCAATCGCGATGAAATTTTCTACACAGTTCAGTCTTAACAATGCCTCGGTCGAGTTCGAAGATGAGAAGAATTGGCTGAATCATTCCTGAGTTATTGCAAAAATACTCATTTTTTCCTATGGCTTCCTATGCGAAAATCGACCCATCCCCGCTTTCGTAATAAACTTTTCCTATCATACTCAAAATAAAACCCCAACTATTATATACCATTCGATAGAGAATTTCACGAGCTACAAAATGGTATATAAAATATAAAGAGACAAGAAGACTAACTCATCTATTGCAAAGATTATTAAACAGAAATTGGTTCTGTTTGTGTAAACGCTCTAATTGATCCATAAATAGAGCTCTATCTTCCTATTACAGAGATGGTACCTCGAGATTTTCTGGGGCGAAGAACTCGAATCTGTAATCCATTTGCTTCGAAATCGCATTGGTTTAGCAGTGACCAATAGAAATCAAGTTATAGGAAAAACGACTTTCAGAGGGTAAATCAGAGCGAAGAGTTCAAATCTGGTCGATATTCGTTCCCAAATCCTATTGGTTGAGCAGTAGCCAATAGGATTGAAGTGTTTATAGAAAAGGTTTGCCAGGATAATTTTGGTGTCCACACATTCTAGGATGGCTCGTCTGCCTAATTCACTTTTTGAAGTACACATAACTCTCGGATTTAAATCCGAGGTTTCCACATTTATTACTGATGTTGGAAAGTATTGCTTGCACAAGATCTGAAAGGAAACATCTTTTCTGTATTGAAAACAGCTTATTTATCCCTTAATTATATATTAATTCTGTGCGTTGGACTCAGTTTTTGAATAAATACGATGGTGTTTTTGTTATACCATATTAATTTCAGAAAGATGATATAAGATATAATTGCATATCTCCTTCCATTTGTTTTCTCAATTCACATCATATATACAAGCTGATGATCAGATTTGAAAGATAAAAGAGTAAAGTGATATCCTATTGAGGTTAGCATCTAGTTGTGTTGAACTGAACTGGTTTTCGCTTAAATAGTTAAGATTGAAATTCGAAAGATTGTTTATTTAAATTAGGCAACTTGTTTCAGTAAATCACTTATTTGAATATGACACAATTTCCAAATAATTCCATTAACTG